AACACTCAGTCCTGGTTTAGTCCTGTTTTACACATGGTTTAGATCTGTTTTAGTCCTGGTTTAGGCCTTTTTCAGTCCTGGATTAGACCCTGTTCAGGTCTGGTTTAGTCCTGCTTGCAACAAAACAATCTGAAGAGCCGCTTGGGAGCCGAAAGAGCCAGCTGCTTTTAGTGAGCCAAGCCAAAAGAGCCGGTTCTCTAAAAAGAACTGGAACTGGAACTACCAGCTAGAATGTGATGCAAAAATGCCATTAGGGTGACCTACTGTGTGTAAATATGACGTAAAGAGGCAGAGTAACGATAAATGTTGCCTAAATAAATCCAGTGTAAAATCCACTAGAGCTAAACCTAAGTTTTTTTTTAAATTCAAGATTTATAGTGAATTTTTATATCACTAAATATATCTGCGATTATATCGGCCATCTGCAGCACCAACTCCAATTTTATCGGTATCATATCGGATGCAACAAAATCCATATCGGTCGGGCCCTAATTACAATATTAGAAAAAATGACAATGGTGTTTTTAAAAGGATTAATTTTTTTCGCAACAGCAAAACCATTCTGTAACTTTTATTCAGCTCTGAATGATTTTGAACAGTTGCTACTCATTATGCTATTACACATTCTGTTAGCACAAATCTCACAGTACCAGTCTGTACTGAGCTGTTACAATATAGCCCCACTGGTCGAAGCTGCTGAGGTGATGCATTGCCTACTGGAGTATGAAGTTGCATGCACTCTGTATCGATTCTTAGTCACATGCTTTTATTATCTTTCCCTTTTTGATTTCAACCAGTTAAGAGCTAGCAGCAGCATCTACCTGTGCAAATGATCTGTGATAGGAACTTTTTATTTTTATTATTTACTTTTTTACCTCTCTGTTTGCTGCTGATTTTGCATTTTGGTAAGTGGAAAAAACTGCATGTCAGACTGAAGTGGTTGAGCTGAAATGACGGCGTGGAACAGCTATGGGAGTCTGAACTGCTTTCATAGTCACCACTTCTTCTTCTTCTTGGACAACTGTGATAAAAGCTCTGGTCACTCTTTCACTGGCCCTGCATTGTGATTCCTGTCCCCTCTGCTGCTAACACAGCCACAAGCCAATGAAAGAGTCTCTCACTCAGACAAGTGTACTGGTTCACACACTCCTACATAGGTTAATATGGCAGGCTTCAGATTTCTGTCCTGCATGCCTTCTGCATCGTGTACATTATGCATGAGAAGTGATAGGGCTCAAAATATTTTCAAGGACGATGTATTTCCAATATTTCCATTCAGTGTTCAGTCCTGGAAATCCAGCAAAATCTGTATGTGACTACGTTATTGTGGACATATGCTCTCCACACCTCTGCACATGAAAGAGGTCACTGCCTAAATCTGACCACTGCAGTCTTCTTAGCTCTCATTTGCATTTGCTTGTATTGCATGAGCCTTTTCAGTGCTGAAGGGAAATCACATTTAGGATGCTGTATTTTTATTTGTATACAAAATTCTTTTCATATAGGGCATTGACATTAGGAGCAGGTGGGCATGCTTCAGTTCATGTGATCTGACCATAACTTCTACTTGTGGTGCAGAGGATGTCATGTATAACATTGCTGCTGTCATCTCTGGGGGAGGGCTGGGGCATGTGTCTGAGTTCTTTTTTTACTACACAGTACCATGCACGTTTTGTAACTAATTAACAGTTTTTGTTTCTTCTTTTCACTGTTTAGATGATGACTCAGGTGCTGCTCCTCTGTAAGTACAGTTCTACTATCATCACATTTAGCTTTGGAATTTGCCCTTCACTAACTCAAGTTGAATGTGTTTTTAGGAAGAGCAACTCAAATGCCAACCACAAGGACAAAGGCGTGAGGCAAAGAAACTCCAACTAAAATCCTTTAGAGGTTTGTATAGAAAAGAATAATTTGTGTTTTTTTTCATTTATAATGGGCAATGGGCTTATGTGAAGTGCTCCTTTTAAATTAATAAATGCATGCTTTTTAACTAAGGAGCACAAGTAGAGTTTTCACAACTAATTCAATACTGATATCAACAGATGTATTACTTGCAAAATTGCTATCTGGACTATACGTTCTCCAAAATGTGCCATGTACTGGGACATGAGGTTTAAAGACTCAGAGTAGTAATTGCATCTAATGTATAGATGAGGAAAAAGAAATGCCTGTAATGAAAATCTTTCCTTCTTTCCTTTCACAGATGATGGCCGATGTCTGAATGACTCTTAAAAATCATCTGTTGTGTGGCACAATAATGTGCACTTTGCAAATCTAAATAACTTTCTGTGCTTGGGTGTTGATGTTTTAAGAGATTTAAACATTTTTATTGACTTTGTTTTTTTCTCATTAATTTCCTCTACATTGTGCAGCCAGAGGCCATAGTGACCTTTTTTTTTTTTTTTTTTTTGATGCCGAAGGGGCAAACATTGCATGAGTTTAACTGCTGTTGCAAATGTGTGTTTGTTGTAAAGCCAATAAAGTCCACAAGGGGGTGCTTCAATGTCCTGTCTGCCCTGATGCCCCAGCAGCACTGCCCGCTGTCACATGAATAAGAATGACTGAATCCATCACTGCCATCTTTGTCACAGGCTGTGAGAGTGCATTTGAACCGCTTTATTTGTCCTTAGAACACTTCCACCATCCTCAGATTTTTATACTTGGCCTTAACACTCAACATTTCTTTTAAGTTTTTATTTTGTTACTGCTGTTTAAGCTTAATATTGAATGCAGAAATGGCTGAAAATTCATTCTGTATTTTGCCATAATTTAAGGTATGCAAGATTTTTGTCTCGTAATCTTTTTAAGTTTTAAATCACTTTTGTCACACTTTTTTTTTCTTCTGAAGGACCAAGAGCAAAGGAGAACAATCTTTTGCCTTTGAACGCTACTATACTACGCACTGATGTTTAGACTACAGCTGTAAACCTATGTCACCTAATGGACTGAGACAGATACATTTGTGTGTGATTGTTAATTCTAATTGTTGTTCCTTCACTGTGTAGATGACTCAGAAAGCCATAAGTTAATTTTAACCTGAGTAGTTTTGTGATTGAATGTTACCATATTATAGAGTTATACTATTAAATTCATGGAACAGAGAACAGTTGTGTACACTATTGTCTATTTCAAATGGGACATGGGAAATGACCATCTGTACAACATGCACAAGATTTAATAAAGATTATGGAGTTAACTTTTTTGAGTTATTTGCATAAATCCTGGGTTACATATTATGTGAAATATAATTATACTAGGCTATTATATTCCCTTCACGTCATGCTACGATTTATTTATAAATAGGTAACAACAACGTGACATTTCCTTTAAAAGCACAGTTGAGTTGAGATCATAGGGTTGAGAAAACAAAAGTGCAGTCACACTCGCCACTAGATGGCAATCTTTTGCAACATGAAACATGTACTTCGATTGTCCGGTCAAGACCGTCTGGGGTGCTTTCTTCTCCAGAGATTAGCTGAGTTGCCGCTAGAGGGCAGTGTGCGACCAGGTTACATCCTGGGTTCGAGAGTGAACTTGACGCTACTTTGACCCTGCATCATGATTACCCCACCCTGTTGTTTATAAGTTTGGTCACTTCCTCCGTGCACGTTAGGGCTACTATAACTGCTAAATATGAAGTATGTTTTAATTACCTATTTGAATTGATATCCACCTGTGCCATGTGCTCCTTCTCCACACGCAGACATGTCTAGGTGATAGGTTGCACCTATAATTACGGGACAGAGCGGATGCCATAGTGTTGGGACAGTGATTGTGAATGGAAAGTAGAAGCGGCTGATGCGTTGAACTCCGGGCTCTTGGAGGCGTCGCTGGCGCCGACGCCCAAGTCCACGCGGGAGTGGCTGTGATCGTGCACGTGCGATGGACGAGTCTGAGGACGGTGAGGAGGAGCTCTCAGTCTCCGGTGTGACCATTGGTGTGACCGGACATGAGGAGGATGGCTACGAGATGAAGAGAAGGCTGACGCCGGGAGGCGGAGCCGCGTCTATTGCGCGCACAAACTCCAACAACAATGAGCTCTGGCTTCTGCGAGACGAGTCCAGTGGCTCCGTGAGCAGCGGCCACTGGCAGTATGTCCCCGCGGAGCACACAGTGTCAGGGGCGTTAGCAGAAGGGGCCACCGGAATGATATGCAGCAAAAACGGAGATTGTAGAAGGGAGCCCACCAGTTCAGGCAGCCTCTCCTCTCTCATCTCCAGACAGGAGACGGGTGCAGAGGCTGAAGACGCTAAGGGTGAACGTATAGGCATGGATGGCGCTGTCACCTCAGCGGGGCCCCTCGGCCAGGGGCCCGGGTCCGAGGTCAAGACCATCGCAACAGACAAGAAGGACTCCCGAGTGTCCTTCTCTACCATCTCGGTTGGGAAGGGGCACTTATCCGGCCAGTCGAGGAACTCCGTCACTTTCTCCAAAGCGGAGGAGATTGTAGCGGAAGATGAGGACTCAAGGAACAACCAGACCTACATGCAGCGCCAGTTCAGTTCCATGCTCCAGCCAGGAGTTAACAAGTTTTCCCTGCGCATGTTTGGGAGCCAAAAGGCGGTAGAGAAGGAGCAGGAGCGAGTCAAGTCCGCGGGAAACTGGATCATACACCCTTATAGTGACTTTAGGTGAGTCGAAGAACATTTTGTTTGCTCAAACAAAACACAATGAAAAGTTAGCCGATAGGCTACCTTAGTTCACTACATTCTGAAGTTTAAAGAAATGAGTCGAAATAAGAGGCTAAGAGGATTTCAGCACCATGGCCAGCTCTTTCTATTTTTGATACAAAACTGGCAAATATGATAAAAATGATTGTGGCAGTACCAAATGAACTGTCCTGTAGCTGACGCGCACAACACACAAAAAACATAGCATTGCAAGACTCACTTCATATAGTTAGGAAAGCTGTCAAAACGAGAAGATAATAATAAAAAAAAAAAAACATAGAAATTGCACTTATTTTTTTATTTTTTAGCTTTTTAATTTTTATTATTTTTTAGCTTTTTTAGTCCTTATATGACCCCTTTGGAATTATTTTATTTTGAATTAATTTTGTCAGGATTTTACCCTGGTTTATTCATGCTATATAGGGCTTAAGTGAGTTGAATGCTTAAGGCTACTTGGTTTATTTTTTATTATATGTAAATTCCACCCCTGCCACATGTTTCTTCCTTCTGTACCATAGGTTCTACTGGGACTTCTCCATGCTAATGTTTATGGTGGGCAACCTCATCATCATCCCTGTGGGCATCACCTTCTTCAAGGAGGAGACCACCACACCTTGGATCATCTTCAATGTTGTCTCGGACACCTTCTTCCTAATAGACCTGGTCCTGAACTTCAGGACGGGGATCGTGTTTGAAGAGAACACTGAGATTATCCTGGACCCTAACAAGATCAAGCAGAAGTACTTGAAGAGCTGGTTTGTGGTGGACTTTGTCTCCTCCATCCCAGTGGATTATATCTTCCTCATCGTGGAGAGAGGTATGGATTCAGAGATGTACAAAACGGCCCGGGCTCTCAGAATTGTGCGTTTCACCAAAATCCTGAGTCTGCTGCGTCTGCTCCGACTGTCCAGACTGATCCGTTACATTCACCAGTGGGAGGAGGTACGCCCCATGCACATACACGCACACACACACTCAGACACACCTATGGGCTTTATATTACATACTGGCATCAGCTGGGGTTTAGGTTTACTATGAATGGGAGATTATTTTAAAAGGGATCATATTATATTTCTAATATTGTTTTGAAAATATGCTAAATTAGAATATCGACTATATTGTCTAGAGTTCAGCATATAAAATATTACAAATATTATAAAAGAGCTGAATAAAATATGTTGATAGCAAATGTCTAGTCTTATCATCCAAAGAAGTAATAAGTTGATACTTTGGTGGTTAAGTTTATGACCCATTCCACGTTTTACGCTAAGCTTGAACCCTCAACCAAGATAGTTACAGGCAAGTTTCAGCACATTCTTGATGCACTGTTAAAATCATCTGAATATTGTTATCAAGATATTGCAAACATGTCTAGATTTTCAGTTTCTTCAACATCACGATTCCTAGTTTGGGGATTAAATAAATAATTGGGCCTGTCACTGACATTTTGTTTGAGTTCTGCAGTGAGGACCTGGTTCTGGACTCGTCCAGGTTGTTCAAGGGCACATATTCCTCGTTTAGGTCCAGAGCAGTCCTACACCTGGACTCATCTGGTTTAGGCCTATCTTCTAGCTTGTCTCCATGAGGATGCTATTGTCTCACCTGGAGTGCTCCATAGGGTAACGATAAATATAACATCTATTTTGCATCTTGCAGACTTTTGTTTCTCAAAACTGCTACACAGATCTGACTTGTGATTTTACTCGGTTGCATCACCTGTGTGTATCCAGGCAAATATATCTAAAGCCTTACTATGGAATATTCCAGAAAAAAGCAATAAGATATATATGGAGACCACCACTTGAGTTGTACATATAGTGCATCTTTAAAGATAAGATTATGGGCGTCTCCAAGACTCCCTGAGCCTAGTAACAGCTGATTGAATATGGATGTGTAGAGTCTCACGAGGTATGCCATGCACACTTGGACCTTGAAAAAGTGAATGGAAATGAAATGCAAGGAAAACCCTTGTTTGAGTTGAGTGAAATTAGTGAACAGCAGGAGGTGCACAACATGATGTCACACCCACTGTAAATGTACTCATTATTTTTCATACAAGTTTTCCCTTCATTTGGTCTCATGCTGTTTAAATCTTTTATAGTGCCCTGGTACAGTTCAGACATAGATTTAGCTCTAGTTTAGCTTTGGTGTAGTTATGCCATAATTTTCCATTGCAGTCTTTTGTAGTCATACTTTAGACCTGGTTTAGTCTTAGTTGTCTTATCCTAATGTAAGTCCTAGTTTAGCCCTGTTTCGGATCTGGGCAGGGTACAATTTAAATAGTACAAAAAAAAATTTAAATGTTTGTAAGTATTGGTATCCCCCTACAAATGAAAGGTTCCTAGTTTTATGCCTAGCACTACTGTATATTCAATTCAAATATCACAATGGAAGTCTTCAGGCTTCTCAAAATAAGTATACTGGGATTAAATTTGAAATACATTGAAAAACATGAATAATTCTTGTGTTTATCAGGTTGTAGTCATGTGACTTGTTGCTGACACAGTGTACAGTGTGTGGTGAGAGCAGCAGAGGTAAAAGTGTTAATGTAAACCCTCAACTCACTAAGGTGTTTTGAATCTGATTATCTCTTTTTAATAACGGCATATACATTATTCAGAACAATGCCCCACTCCCAGAGTCTGAACACTTTTGTATTTTGTTTGTAATTACCTTAAAAATCACTTGCACACAAGCTTAACTGACACATAATAACCTGAATTCACAACAAATTAATCTTAAAAAATTGAGTAGGAGCTGTCAGAAGCACCAGCAGGGATTTTAATTTTCACCATTGTCACAGCAGAAGTGTCCTGGGATACTTCATCTTTCTGATTTCCATCAAACAGAGCAGTCAGCAGAGTCACTTTGGCTCAGGTCGAGACTCTCCTAGGGGCTGTCACATTCTTTTATCATCCAGTGGCATTATCTATTAGGCTATTTTTGTTACATATTTGTTTACCTAAAACACTCAAGTCCATGTGTAGGCTGTTTTGATACCACATTCTGAAGCATGATACATTGCTTCAGAGATATATTGTGATAAACAATAATATTGGGCTATTTTATGCCAACAATAATGCAAGACAATTGTAAACATTTTAAATAGACAGAATCATTAAAAGGCCTGAGGTGCATCAAATAAATAGAAGAATGAACCGATAATTTACTGATTCAACCTTCCACAGTTCAAATCTTACCATATTACAATAAAAATATCCCAAATTATCCAACTTTTACAAAGAAATTGCACACATGATGAATCTTCAGCCCCAAAATATATTGATATTGTTATAGTAATCATTGTGACAGGCCTATTCACGTGCTTGTAGCCAACCCTGTTTTATATTTACATTTATACTCGTCTCAATCTACTGTCTCATAAAATATTGTATAGTCTTCCTGAGATCATGCATCTTTAATTGTGCCCTTTTCCAAATGTGTGCTGTGTTTGCTGTCAGAGAATCATGTGAACTCCCCCAGTCCCTCATTACACATGCACAGGACTGATGCTCTGCTGCTTTGGCTATAGCCCTGCTCCTCTCGCTCTCTGTGTCCAAACAAACACTGGGTTAGTCCAGCTCTTCTTGGTCCGGCTCAGCCCAGATGACCATGGCTCTTATCTCCGCTTTCTGAACAGTGGCTTCGTTTGAGAGAAGCTTGGGAGGAAAAATCTGACAACCTCAATCAGGGTCAATAAAAGACTGAGACTTCCGGACAGTGGCTGAAATACACAGTGATTTCCTGAGAGAGGAAGCTGTACTTAAGCTGGGGCTGATTGTGAGAGTTATACACATCAATAGTGCTGGCAAGTTTATTTTTATTTGAAATTATACATACCTGAAGTTTATATCAATGCTGCAGCATGGAAAAATTGGATCTTAATTATCTTAAAGATCTAATATTACACAAAATTAATTATTCTGAGCTTTAAGCCATGTTAAAATGGTTGTCAGGTCAAAAACATGCCAGGATTTCTGTTTTGTTTCTTTCACACATGTTTGAGTAATCCTTTATTATTAGGCTGTCTCCAAAGCTCAAAATGCTCTGTGCCACCTTGTGATGTCATGAAGTGGTAGTTTTGAAGTTAACAGCTGCCTTTTACCTTTTATTCAGATTCCAGGGCTGAAATTATCCAAATGATTCTAGTAAAGTTGTATGGAGTTTAAACACAGAGTGGAGCACTTCCTGTATTTCCACATGCCATCACAAGGTGGAACAGTGTTTTCTGTTAGAGACAAACTCAGCCTAAATATACAGGGTTTGTGTGTTAAACATGTGTGAATGAAACAAAACACAACTCCAGGAATGTTTGAGATGAGGAAACAGCATTATAACATAGATCTGAAAATAGCGTAATATAGGCCTTTTAAAAATGTTTCTAAGATTAGAGATGATCTATATCATGCCGTTTCATTTATCACTTTATCCTAAATGTGTAGGTCAAAATAGAAGTGATATTGTACACTGTCATTGTGCGCTTGGGCAAAACAGTTCACCCGCCTTACCTATCAGCAAGTGTGATTTGGAAGTGTGAGATGAGTGGTGGTGGGAAAGAGCCATAAGCAGCCACATTTACACCATTGCGCCACACGGCAGCTGTGGCTACAGAAGTAGTTTATCACCAAGTGTAGAGAGTGAATAAATTTTGCATGATCAAGAGTCTGGAAGTGGAAGTGCTGTAGAAGACTAATTTATAATATGTATTAGAAAGGCTGTGCAATTCATCAAAATTTAATTCAGTAATTACTAATGGTCAATGATATGCTTGGGTCTTTTAAATTCAGAGGTTCACAGCTAATCATTGGTCAGTAAAAATAACACATTTAGAGCAAAGTTCAGACTTAGAAAGTTTTCTATGCTCAGGAAATTAATATTGAAAGTCATGCTCGTTTGTCTCTAAAATACATTTGAATCAGATATTATGATATTTGGAGAAAAAATGTATTATTGATTATTAATCATATCACCCAGCCCCATTAATATTACAGAAATATGTTTTTTTTATGCAGTCAAAGGTATTGTTGTTATAACTGATAGTATTTTACCTGCTGAGTGTACCATCGCAGAGCTCCATCTTACTCCTTGTCTTACACATAATCCTTGCTGACACTTGAGATTTGTTAACACTATTATTTAAACACACATAATCTCCACCCAGAGAGTTGTGCAGACTGTAGTAGTGTTCATTTGGCCCAGATTTTGGTGACAGTGACACATGGCCAGGTGCAGCTGTAGAGTCAGGGGAGCAGTGGTCCAGCAGCCTCATTAATCATAATGGGACCAGAGAGTCGTAATCACAGGCCACGGCCCCACACTGCGCCCCTCGCTGCTACACCCAAATTAGCATCCCATTCACAAAAGTGCAAAACAGACAGTGTGTGTACAAATAACAGTGGGATAAATAATGGGTATGGCTGGAATTCAGTGTGACAAAATACACGTTTCTCTAGAGGAACTTAAAAGAAAAGAAGAACGAGAACTCAAATAAACTAAGAACGTGGCATTTGCTATGTATTTGTGTAACATAACTGGCAGCTGATCCAAAGCAGCTGATGCACTGATCCAGCTTTTCCAATTCTGATACTGATTCCAATGCTATAGCTTTAAGTATCCACCAATACCCGATACCAACCGATATCAGTGCAGATATTCAAAACAGCATTTATTTTCTTTAAGTTGAAATAATTTAAGACAAAACTGATCCAGATGTGTTATGTAGTTTTTATTTATCGCACCAGTAATGACAGAACAGTATAAATAAAAGTTCAAACATTATGAGACTTTATGGGCCAACTATGACCAGTAAATAGTCTAATTACATCATTATACAGACCTGAATATTGACTAAACTGATATTTGAAAGCTGATATCTGAGCAAACAAAATTGTCAGCTATTTAGTCAGTATCAGTGCCAATATCTGATACCAGTATTGAATCAGACAATAAGTAACTGGTATACTGTATTAATCAATGAAATATCGTGCCCATAGGCTAGCAATTATGTAGATAAATAAATGAATGGATTGGGGACAGAGGGGACAGCAGGGTTAACATTACATCACATCTAACGTTATTCAACTGTGAGTTGTGAGAAAAGAAGTTGCAGGCAGTATGAGTTTGATGCTCTGTTACTCCTGAAGATATCCTCCACTATTACCCTCCATACCACACGCACAAATCTCATTATGTGGAGTTAATTTACGCACTGGCTTTTTGTAGCTTTGTACCGTGTTATAACTTGACGGAACACACAGCCACTGTAACATAATAGTGCTGTGAAAGGGGAGAGACTTTTTACTAAGAGTGACAAAAAGTTAGATTTAAATTCATGATTTAGTGATGTATACACACAAAATAGCATAGTAACATACAATAAATCTGCATATGTAACACACATTGTACTGCATCTGCATACTATTTCTTATACTTAGTGTAGATAATATATAAAAAGCAGCAGAAGTACAAACTCATGTCATTTACTTTCTTTACATTTATATTGGACAATTCTTCACCAGACACCTTTTGTGTGTATTGATGTAAATAGTCCATAGAGGTGAAAAGAATCAGCCTAGTCTGAAATAGTAAAACATTAAAAGGCTCAAGTTACATCATGATGTTTTCAGCGCTTAGACTCTGCTCCACTGCCGCTGCCCTAGAACTCACAACAGTGTTTTTGACAGCTCAACATCAGTCTCAATTGTCCACTTGGATAAAAGCCCAAATTCATGGCAACACACAAACATTTGATCTTGGTATCGTTACTTGATTTTTCCTGTTTACTGCTAACAACATACTTAGTAGATGTATTATTTATAGGCTAGCATTGTGACAAATATCAGTAGACTGTAATACTTAGCTTGGTGATAAAATCTTCAAAGCTGTTTTTTTTTTTTTTGGTACATGGACTTGTAACAGTGCCAAGGGTTATCCTGAGACATTGGAAAACTATTGTACGCCCTGAGCTGAAAGACTGGATAAAGCCAGTGGCAGAGACGACTCCCTATGCGTCTATGCAAGTCTGTGCTTAACAAGCTGAAAGGCAATACAGAGAATTACTTTTGGGATCACCTGAAAGTACAAGAAAAGATAACACTTCAAATATGAATAGATAATGGACAGGATCTCTCTTTTCTAATTATTATTTTTGTAGCAATTATAGTTTGAATACCATGTAATTTAGTAAAACTGGGAAGGGGAAATGATTAAACTAAAAAAGGCCATAGAGTATAGATATATAGGAATAGTGACTGCTCTATCAATGTAGTGCCATGAAAATATTTTTGTATATTTGAAAAAATATGTTGTGGCAGCACTATCATTCTAGTTGCTTATTTTGGGAAATGGAACTTTTTTATAATGTGTAATAGTAAAATGAACATTAATAAAATAACCCTAATTTATTAACAGAATGTGCAGGTACTGCATTAAGGAATAAGTACTGTTTACTATACACACTATAGAGGTTATTTCACTTGGGCCATCACATAATATCTGTTTTGCTGTAAGTATGGAATTATAAGTAGCCCTGAAATTCCCAGCTTCAAAAAACAAAGCTTGAAAATGTTCTTCTTAGGCATTAATTTAGTTTATGATGCAGTCTATTTTACTGCTTTACTGATTATAAATATTAACTAGTTTAACAATATTTAAACTGAAATTACCATGTTTCACTTCACCACTCAAACTTCCTTTTTCTTCCCTTTGAGTATTCCAATGCCTAATGTCTGGTCCCCGTCTGTCTGTCAGATCTTCCACATGACCTATGACCTGGCCAGTGCTGTTATGCGGATCATTAACCTGATTGGGATGATGCTGCTGCTCTGCCATTGGGACGGCTGTCTGCAGTTCCTGGTGCCCATGCTCCAGGACTTCCCCTCCGACTGCTGGGTGTCCCTCAACAAGATGGTGGTAAGAAAATCAAATCTATTTTTACATCCAATTTGAGCACATGATAGCGCGATTTGAAAAACGACTGTACTGTGTGGGGCACGCCTCTCCACTGATCTGATCCGTATTTAGCTTGGCAGTGTCATCTGTTTGTTGGAGATAGATATAAGTTAATGCAAGTGATATTTTGCGGCTCATGTCATCAACATTCCCTGGGGATGTGATGCTAACTAGAAGCACTAGGCTAGAACTGAAGCTCTGTTTTAGATTTTTTTTTTTTTTGGATTTGATTTCATTTGATAGTGAATTGTAATTTCATTTTGTTTGCCATTCATTGCTCAGCTGTAGAACACACACACATCTACACTAGCACCATATTGTCCCAGAGGTGTTTAGCTGCTGACAGATGGGAGTTGGGTAAAACAGCAATCACACAACCTCAATTAAACCCTCTGTAGTTGGACTCAGGAGACATAGACAAACATGAGCAGAAGTTACAGATGAAATTAGGGGTTTTGTGTGGTTTCTTTCCTCTCCTCCTCTTCCTCTCCTCCTTTTCCTCTCCTCCTCCTCTCACTTTCAGGCCGCCAGGTATCTGCGGCTGCCCATCTGCTCCACATTACAAAAGAAACGTCCTAATTATTTCTGCCATAATGAAGGAGCGTGTTGTGAAATAATAAAAACCAATTATTTTCCCAATCAAGAAATTGCAATGATTATTAACCTCTTGACCTTTCTAAATAGTTCTGCTTTACCTGAAACAACTGATTGAGATTACAAAATCATGTGTAAAGCCACTTTTCCAGTGCTGCCTGAGAATCCAGTATGAAACACAGATGTTTTTGCATTGACTGTATTTTTCCACAGTATGGCATTAAACGTAACTGCGTTATATTCAATTAAAGGTGTTTTATTATGAACAAGATCACCTTTTCACAGATCTGAGCTGACGTTGCTTGTCTCCATGGAGATAGATACGTTTAATGATATATGCTAAATTATCACATTTTTATATTACTCTTTTCAACCTTCAAGGCACTCAATTTTACATCAAGGAGCCACTCACCCATTCACACCTTCATACACCAGTGGAACCAAACAAGTCTCCAAGGGCACAACAACAGCATTCATCTGTGGTAGCTAGAATCGCACCGCCAACCTGTGGGTCAGTACATGTTTGATGATGAGAGCAAGATTTGAACTGCCAACCTTTGGATCAGAGCACAAACACTCCCTAAACTGAACTTTTAATAGTTATGATATAACCGTAAAATAGACAGAAATTCCTCTTCATTGTGATCTCATCTTATTTCCCATTTTTGCATTCTTGGACCTCTCTAGCAGCCTTAGCATACGCTGTGTTCTCATTATCTCCTCTTCAAAGCCACTTTATCTTGACCTTTTTATCTATAACTTTAATTATATCTGCGGGCTATAGATGCAGAAACAACAACATACAGCTCTATATTGTTCTGTCATCCATGAATTACTCCTGTCAGTTCCTGACCCCTCCCTCTAGTCATCCTCTTTTATGCCTGGGGTGTGTGTGTATATATATACATTTTTATATTTTTATACTTTATATTGTCTATGTCTCCTGAGTTTTTTAAATCATGCTATCCTATATCCCTGAGGAAAGAAGTCTGGTCCGGGAGCTGACACCTCTGGAGGACAGCGCTCTGTTCAGGACGCTGTGGGAAGAATTGGAGTGGACAAGGGCCAAGCTTGCAGATAAGGTCCAAAGAAGGCAAAGAAAAGGACTTGGAGTTGCAAAAACTCCAGAAGAAGGACAAGCTAGAACAAACTACAAGGCCAAGTTAACGCACATAAGGCAATCCGGTACCTGTATAATTCTACAGTACAGGAAATTGTGCTCCAAAAAACTCCAAAAAAAAAGGTCAGTCTATTATGCTGGCCAACACCAGTAAAGTCCATGAGAAGTTGAAAGAAAAACTGAAAGCACCTAGAATGCACTCAAATTACTTGTATTGATGTTGGTGGAGATATAACCAACAATGACAATGAGAAACCAGGAAGGTACAGGAGCTGTCCCCTAAACTCTTCTCAGCACGAGAGGAGCTGCATCTCCTGAAGCTCAAAAGCTCAGAAGGAGAGAAAGAGACGATTGATTCAGTGGGAAATTCAAGCTGCAGCCAACTTTACTCAGTGGCCTTTGTGTCTCAGTCAAATGTCTCAGTGCAGCATAACAGAAGGATCGGTCAGATAGGGTCAGCAGATTCAGTTTGAGGAGAGGAACAGTCCTCTGGACAAAACTGTCTCCCCTCTGTGTCATCTGTGTCCTGCAGCCCGGGGCATCGCAGTAGCATCCAGAGGGAGCCAGGTGACGAAATGGTCCATTCCCTCAAAGTATTTCCTCTGGAACGGCTGCTGCCACATTTGCTTTAAAAAGCCTGTAGCATCACAGAGGTCTATAGGTAGCTCCTTAGCTAGCCTCTTGTACAGTCTTCGTGGAACCAGGAAAAACAGCTCATTCGCACAATCCAACAGTTCCTGACTTGTGTCCTTTGAACTGCACATGCTGCACATCTTAGTTGGTTAAAATCCATGATATGATGTGAAAAACGTAGCTCAAAAATCAAGTGTGTCAACCAGGTAACCATAAATATATACACAGGGTATATGTGTGTGTGCCCGTGCTGCCTCCAGTGGCCCTTAAATTTCAGGAACTACATGACATCACACAGGACTGCCCTGATTACAGCCAGTAAGCCATACCATATAAGCCAGTAAGTAAGTAAGTAAGCCAGGTAACAAAATGTATCTATCTCCATGGAGAATGTTTCGAGGTATGGTTTGAACTTTATTTTTCTATGGAATCATTCAGGTTACATGCCACCTCCATAAAGTTCCACACTATTGCTTTGATTCTCCTAGAGTACAGTTGTGCCTCTCCTGTGCTGTTGCTACTGTGGGTGTGGTGTTGTTTGCCCTGGTTTGGTACAGTAGTGAAGGTCGGGGAAGCTCTTTGTTTGGTGTCAGGTGATCCCTCCACACTCAGCTCTGGCCCAGAGCCCAGGCCGGACGTTTACTGGACTTGACCTCACTGTTTAAAAGTGGAACGTGATAACCTCCAGTGGACAGCAGACCCTCTCTCCTCCTCTTAAGGCATCCGTCATTTGCCCTTAAAATCCTATATATGTGTTTGCGTATGTGAGAGTGACTATTATGGATATGTTTAAAAATAGATGCTCCTTCACTGCTGCTGTTATCCTGCTGTGAGAGATTAGCTGTGAGTTGGGTGTTTGTTGAAGGTACAGTTTCAATGGATAAATAAACCAAAACCATCAGTGATAGAGGAGCTATAATAAGATAAGAGAACCTTTATTCGGTTGGAAACAGGAAAAAAATAGGGAAGTTATATGCTGTCAGAATCAAGATAAACAACTAACAACTTAAAAATAGACCCAAACTGTTGAAGCGCCCATGTTATGCGATTTCCTGATCTATGGTTCTTCATCAAAAACATAGCTGGTTTTGTTGTCATTCACAGATCCTGCATATTTAGTCTGAGTAATTCTCTCAAACAGAAAACACTCTCTTACACTTTGTGATGTCATGTGGCAATACAGGAAGTGCTCCATTATGTTTTTAAACTCCATACACCTTCACTAGAATCATTTTGGCCCTGGAAATGCCCAGCTGCACTGAACAAAAGGTTAAAAAGTAGCTTCTTACTTGAAAACTACCACTTCATGACATCACAAGGTGAAACTGAGCATTGTGAGTTTTGGATTTATACAGACTAATTATACAGGATTACACAAACAAAACACAACTCCGACTATGTTTTGAAGAGAGACCTAAGTTCTAACATGGCTTAAACTTTGCATAATGTAGGGTGTTTAAACTGGAATGTAAAATACTGTGATGAAATTAGATACAACGTGGTGTGTGAATATAAAACTAGTTAAAACACACACATATATATATATATATTGAGCAGTTAAATGAAAAAAACTTAAATGTAATAAATATGTAAATGTTATGGTACTTCACAAAAATGTATAGTTTTAGTAGGCTTAGGGTTTTAGGTTGGTAACCTGACACACAAACCACTTTTCACTTTTAACCAACTTTCTAGTCCCAAAATTAGATAATTTTTCATTTTATGGAGTAATATGTTTTTTGTTTTTTTGTTTTTTCTTACCATCAGAGAGCTACATGTACACTACCGGTCAAAAGTTTTAGAACAGCACACTTTTTCCATTTTTTAGTGTTTACTGTTTACTGTTGACCAAAACGTATTCTAAACTTTTGATTCATAAAAGTGTCCACCTTTGGCAGATATAACAGCTGAACACACTCATGGCTCGTTCTTTTTACAATAGAAATCAAATATTCTTTAGAAAGTTCTTCCCAAGTCTGTTGCAGAAGTTCACATAAATGTGTGGCACTTGTAGGTTGCTTGGCTTTCACTTTTCTGTCCAGTTCATCCCAAAACCAGCTCAATGGGGTTTAAGTCTGGAGACTGTGCTGGACACTCCATGATTTCAAGCTCACCATCTTCTTCTTTTTTCCTGAGGTAGTTTTGGCAGAGCTTGAACTTGTGTTTTGTTATCTTTTATCTTTTTTTTTTTTTTTTTTAAACCTTTGTACCATTTCAAGCTCTTGATTGGACTTGCACAACTTGAATTGCAATAAAAAGCTGGAAAAATTAGGGTGTTCTAAAACTTTTGACCGGTAGTGTTTATTGCGCTATATAGACTTTTTTTTTTTTTTTTTTAGATGCTGAATACTTACTTTTCAAAAGACTTGCAAAACAGCTATTTATTACCCAGAGCTTTACAATCCATAGAGACAGGATGGTCCATGTCTGTTATATAAGTGCCACTCTTTTGATGACAGGTGGTTCAGTCTCTCAGATCAATTAATTCAGATCAATGCTGCTTTCTCACTCTCAATATCACTGTCATTCCATATTTACTAGTGAGACGGCAAGAGGCAAAAGGATCTATATGCTTTATGCCTGTGCACTGTAGTTGCATGTGCACCGTAGGCTC